AATTTGGCGCCATATTGGCGCATCATGGCGCCAAATCGCGCCAACGCTGGAAACCTGTGTGATATTCTTAATCAGGACCTCAATTAACCCCCATATGCAAGTTTTCATCAACTTTGGAGGAAAAAAGTGGTGGGCGCCAAATTGGTGCATAATGGCGCCAAATGACGCCAGCGCTCGAAACGAGGGTTAAAACCGTGATCAGGGCATAGAATTGCACCTGTAGACAACGTTTCAGCGAGAAAAATTTTTTTTGGTTTTCTGGGGTAGGAGTAGTTCAACAGTGCCTAATATTACTTTAGTTATGGTAGGCACGGTCGCAGAGGTGTTGGCTGATATTGTGTGCGTGGGTGATTAGAGCTACCGAACATGTTTGAAATATTCGTTGCCCACACACGTTGTCATTCTATAGGATTGTGAAATCTCGCAGATCACGTACTTCAGGCAGATATGCATGTGTATTTGGTCCCTTGCATGAACGAGTTAGGTAGTAAGTGTAGATTTTCAACCCGACAATCGTTCGCCGATCGGGCTCATATAAAGAGCAGGCGAGTTGTCTTGGCTGGACGCCCAGACGTATTCAAACTACTTCCGACGGCGTTTAGCGCACGTTCATTAGAAAAAGCAAAAGTAGCGAAATGGCTACAAAAACGAGCTGTCGAACCTCTCATCGCACGACGTAGCGTCGCCCACTTACCTACTGCGCCACCTCGAGCCACGTGGCGAGCTGGGTCACGAAGGGTTTCACAAGTCGCGAGCATAAGCAGGGAAGCGCACCGCAATGGTTAAGCACAGTAGCAAAAAAAAGGTCCGTAACTCCTCACCCAGAATCGTTTAGCAGATTTGGAAGCCAGATTTGATATCAGCGTCCGAAGACGCTTCTAGGAGTATACATCTCATTCTGAATGGCCAGGACGAGTTGGTATCCTTCCCTTGTAGGCTGAAAACTACGGCATCCAATAAACCAATGACAACACAGCATGTGATATCCACCTATTTTCGAAGAAACTGGTAGAACCATCCGCTGGAATCACTGATAGGAAGGTCACGAAGAACATACCTCAGTATACCATCCCATTTCAGACATGCCTTACTTTCCGATCGTTCTTTTCGTTTTGGGCCGTCGCGTTCAACTGTCCACTTCGACTGAGTTTGCTTGATTTTCCGCAGCATTTTTTGGGAGCCTAAGCATAATAGCCCGTAATATCGGACTTGCCGGGAAAGACAGCGTATAAATAATGCAGAACATAAAAACGGAGGTATTGTAGGATCAATGGGAGATGGAGAAATCAATATACTGCTCACTTTCAGTGAGATATAACTTACATGTAATTTATCGCTACTTGTAACGAGACCAAGGTTTCTGAGCTAGTTCTGACCGCGGTTCGATTTCCGGCCGAGAAGATGTTGCAGGCCACCCGAGGAAGATTGTTGCACCATGGCGCTACTGTAATGTTATCATTGAAAAAGTGTTCATTTCATAGTTCGTCCCTGCAAATCTTACATCAGGAAGACCAGAACTCTTTCCCTTAATGTTCATGACACCACCTATCTATCCAGAAGTCGTTGATAATTAGGATCGGAGAAGAAGCAACGTAACGGTACAAATAGAACTGGATTGCGCGAGGACCTCCGTCTGTCAAAACACCCCAGTTCCTTGCTTCAGTTGTTTGTACTACCAAACTCCACCATATTTCTGATTATTCTCCAAAAATGGATCATAACCACCCTGACTCACACCGCACTTACATCCCTCATAGATCTTCGTTTTCATGGGAAGTAAAAAAATCAACAAACCTCACGTTAGAATTCCATATCAATTTGATCACCGTCTGTTGGGAGACACTAGGTAGCATCCGGAACACGAATAAAGCTTAAAAAGCGAAAATTTGTCGTGTTGAGGTTGCTCAACCACCGAGAAATTCATGAAAGGATGGGAAAACTTCAGGATTTGAAAAAACGAACCCTACTCTCTACCTGGATTCGAAAAAAGTTCCGCGCTTGCCGACCTTAGTAAATAAATGATACAGCTTTCTCTTGCTCCTAACCCTCTCTCGGAAACAATCTCTTTCAAAGACAGTCCCTGCGATCCAGTGATTCGCGAACTGCTTCAGTGCATTTGGCATCCAGGTCCGCTCTCTCATAGAGTTTACAACTTTCGTCACCTAAAAGGGTGAGAACAGCGGTCACAGACGTGACTCTTTTCCCATGAAAGTGTACCGCGGGAGAGATAGAGGATGTGGGGAGGTCGTTACCAATCAACTATCACAAATAGTAGTAGTATAGTAGTTTTGCAGCGATGATAACCAAGACAATCAAGGTGGCACAGTGCGTTGAAACGGAAAGATCGCGAAAAACCATCAAGCGCAAAAATCATCTCGCAACTCTGAAGCCGGATGCGAACCCCACTAACCGAGTATGACTCGCTGCTGAAAAATATGCACCCTTTCACAAAGCTGTTTCATAAGTGGAAGGTCGTCTTAACCTGGTGCAACTGATACTTTCATAATACCCACAAAAGAAGCTCGGATAAAGAGAGCAGGCATCAAAGCATAAATGGATAGAGGATAAAGTCTTGGCCTTGATCAATTCTCATGTGGGCTGCGGCACGCATTCTACTTCCTCAGAATCGCTTATTGAGCCACATCGCTTACTGAATGTGGCCTAGACTTTCGGGACCAGCCGATGTACAAGTCAGTTTCTTATCCTCCCAAGACCTACTGGCTACCCAACTTTCATTCCCCCGACCGTGCGCGCGATAAGCGTGCCACTTGGCACTACCACCTCCGCCCCATCAAAGCATACCGGCAAAGTACTTAGGGAAACATTAGATAACTCCTTGTGAATTCCTTTCATTTTGCTTCCTATCGGCTACACAGCACCGATTAGCCGAGCTATGTAATAAGACAAACGAGCTTACCGCATGCTGGCTGAGAGTAGAGGTATCCTTTTTCGGCATTGCTCAATGTACAGACATAGTCGAGAAACAAGTTACCACCACATGGTAACGTCCCATCGCCGGTCATTTGAAGACCTATGCGATAAGTAGGGTTAGCAACACAGCATATGTTAACGAATATGAGCAGTAACCGGTAGCGACGTCAAATTGAACTATGAAATAAGCAACTCTTCAAAAGTGCATTCATAGAATAGTTTATTTGATACACTATGTAAACGTGTCGCATCACAAAAGTACGTCACATGCAGCAAAACCACAAAGAACTAGCATTTCGAGAGCTACAGAACCATATCTAGAGGAGTACGAGTAAACAGTCATTGGTTAGCCCTCTTTGTGTAAGTAAAATCGCTGTCGTAAGTCTCTAAAGAGTCTCTAAAGCCCACTTAAACCGCTGTTAATCTGCAGTTTCCATAGATCAGCACTGGGCATCTCATAATTATAGGGCACATTTCCGAATCTTGCCCCCGTATCTGTTTACTCGTACGTTTTACAGCATACTCTTTTAAAATTCCATGAAATAAAAACCTCTTTGTAAATGCACCGAATGCAGCCTATTCAAAGGGACTAAACGACAAAAGCACATGAAAACCCGTCACAATCAAAACTTTACAATATCCGTATAGAGTTCATTAGAAAAGAAATCTCGTCTGTCATTTCGACGTAACTTCGTTGTTTTCCCTGAGCTGAGCCAGACCCACTGTGTTGAAGAGGAACGTCGTATCCGGGTGTTGACAGAATCTTACACCGAATTCTCGCAGCTCCAGCGACAGTTCCTTCGAATGAATACACTCACTACCGTAAGTCCCCCGAACAGCACACTTTTGAGCACAATTAACACTCACCGATGCCGAGATGCTTCCACTTTTGAGAAGGTTTTTCAGCGTAATG